ATGCCAAATTTACCATCTTATCTGATTTTAATTACGCAGCTAAAGAGTATTAATTACATTCACTTTGCAGTGCTACCATCACCACCACTTATTCACAGGATTATTCTCATTTTGCAAAATTGAAACTCTACCCAGTAAACATGTATTCCTCGCTCCCCAGCTCTCCTCCAAACCCTGGAAACCATCACTCTACTCTTCCTCCTTTCCTAATGTTTTGTGATTGCTGACTTTCCAACACTGTAATCTGTAGGACATGTTAAGGGGAGTTTTTTTAAGGAAATTCTAATAGTTGCACTTACTTATCTACCTTTGGGAATAATAGTAAGGATTCCATCCAATGAACTTTCTCAAGAGGTTAGTACCATGTGACCAAATAGCACACATAGCAGACACGGAGGAATTCAGGTCCTTTGCAGTTCCTAAAAGTCTTTCTGTCCTCCCTTCATCACCCTAGCTCATTCTTTTCACTCTTCCCTCAGTCCTTACATAGGAAAAATAATGACATAGAAAGGAGTATTTTAAATGCACAAGTCAAATTTGTCTTTTTGTGGTATTACTTTGCTGCAAAATCACAGTTAACTGTTCAAGAAACCATTTAATATTTTATTAATTAGAAATCATTTCATAGATGATAACATTTTTATTAATTTCAAAGTAGATTTTTCATGATTATATAATCTCCTTTTATCATCAGTTCCAATAACAAATATTGTAGCAAATATTGAGTGATGTTTTTCATATATATTAAATATGCTATCTTTTTCATTTTTTACCAATAGTTGAGGAATAACAGCACTTTGGATTAACTGTATAGATGAGACAAGAAATAGCAGAAAAGAAAATGAATATTTATGTCAATGTCAGGTATATGTTCCTGGGTTAATTATTATTATTATGATATCCACAAAACATTATGACTGTTAATGCTAGTTAAGATGATTGTTGCATTTAAAACTGAAATGATATATTTATATATTATATGTATAAAATTTAATATGTAATAGTGGTTCTGATCAACATACTAGAAACAAGTACAAAAACAGTATGAGGGACTGACAAAACAAAGCTATTACATTGAAAAAATAAAAATATTTACTTAGAATCTGTAACATATAGGTTTTATATAACTCCAAAGATAATGTTTTTAATTATGCAAGAGGTTAAACCTCATTTAGGATCACAAATAATGACAGGAATATAGATGCATTAAGAAGGCCACAAATAAAAGTCTATTTAAAATAATAAAGTGAAAATACCATAATCCCTTAGCCATCATTAGTGTTGTACTGTAGTATCATAACGTCTTAATACCACATCCATATCAAACTTACATTGCTGACAAAGTGACATTGTCATATACTCTGAAATACAATATGTTAATCTGTTGGATTAATACACATTCTTTTAGGAGAAAGTTTTAGGAAATTTCCCCTTTTAAAAATTTTCTTTGTCAAGCAGCGTTTATCTACCTGGTTTGGTATCAAGTGCTGAAAGATTTCATGTGACTATATAGAGATGTCTATGATTTCTTAGCTTACTTAAGGACATCCAATTCAAAAACATCCAGAGAATATCAGTAATATTTTAAGGGTTCTTTTTGGAAAATATCACAACTTTCTTGCATTCAAAGTTATAAACAATATTTATAACTTAAGCTTCAAATACAGTCACTGATTTAACATATTTAACTGCTCCATTTTCCCCCCAAATATTGTGCAAAGAAATAATGTGCTTTCTTTCATTATTTCTCAGGTCAGGTTCAAATTTAATAGTAAAGTAGCATATTCTTTGGTGCATACAGCATGATACTGCTGAAGCTAAAAAGCATCTATTTTCCCTTAACGATTTTGTGTTTGTTTCTCCAATAACCCAAATCACTCAGTTAACAACAAGCCTCATTTCACTCAGGACAGGAATTTGTAAAACAATTTTAAAAGGTTATACTTATGATTGCAGTGTGTTTATATGAAATACAATAGGAAATTAATTCAAAACACTGACAAAAATAATCGCATCACATTAATGTCAAACAATATTTTTTGCCATACTATGATAACCACGAAACCCTTCCCTTAGTCATAAGGGTGACTGCAGTTAAGGCTGTTTTTTACTTTTCTACATTTAAGAAACATTTTTGTCAGTTTGACGAATAATATTCTTTGTGAAAATAAAATTTATTTTGTTTACTCAAATTGGATAAAGTTTCCAAGTATTTTATTCATAATTTTCTCCTTAAGCTTATTGGCCCTTTCTTACTGGATTCTTCTAAGGACTCCACATTGGAATGTCAAAAACTGTGCTTGCAGAAATGAAAATATCCTCATTATGCTAATTTAGTTTCCACTGATAGGCATGTTCTGTTTTATAAATTACATCCTCTTGTCAGAAGTCAAAATTTATTTAAATAACTTCATGGAAATTGTCACCAAGATAAAATCGTGGGCCATATATGCCATTGTTTATTTAATCCAGGGGCTTAAAAATGGATGTATATTTATTTTTAAATACGTGCATGATTAATTTGTCACAAATGTTATCTAAATGAAACCTAGATGCAAGTGTAATTTTTATGTATATTTTGATAAAGTTTTGCATTTTCTAAATGTATTTTAATTTTCAGGTTTAATAAGATATGCTAAATAGTATTAGTTGCTGTATATTTTAGTGCCAACAAGTTTGTTTCCTACACACTTGGAATTTTCCTAAAGGGTAAAATAAATATACATGTTTTCATAAAATTATTAAAATATCAAAAATTAAAATGAAAAGAGATTTGATTTATGAAAATCATTTCCTGTTCACCAAGAAGAAAAACATTTCCACTTTGCAATTACAATATCACATACTAAAAAACAAAATGTGGTCTCATTGAAATTGAGGATATTTACAAATACCCAAATATTGAATAAATGATTTTTTAATGTGAGTTAAAAAAATATTTTAAAATTTGCTACTTAAACCATCAAAAGGAATCTGGAAAAGAACTGAAGGAATACACCGACATAATCATTTTACTAGGGAAAAAGAATACATGACATTTCCTTTTCAACTATTCCTGATAAAAGATCAGATTTCATTAAAAAAAAAAAAAAACTGTATTCTATACAGAGCAGTTGGGTTAGCGTTCATTTGATTTTACTTTTCAGAATGACCAGTACTGCTGCTAGAGTAATCTTTGATGTTACAGAAAGTGAAAATATCAAAGTGAAGAGCTAAATCTGTTCGTTTTTCAAGCATATTAATCTTGTCAAGATAATACATAAAAATCAATCCTTGAAATTTTTTCCAGAGCCCTTTCGCCTCTCTTTTATCCAAAATATGAAACCACTTAGGAGGATAAAGCAATGTGAAGACTGCAGAAAGATATCCAAGTTATATTTTGGCTAACTATATTTAAAAGTGGCCCAAGTGGACTGTTTGTGTGGTCAGACAGGATGTTTGTGAAACTATTGGTATTTGTGATATTGGCTCAGCTCATGTGTATGGAAGACTGAAAATTTCTACTATGGCTTTTTTTTTTTTTACAATTCAACTGAGTTTCAAACCCTTGACAGTAACAAATACAAATTGCACCAGCCCCAAAAAAATTGTTGGGGCTAATTTTAATATTAATGAATTCTTTACAACCTCAGTTCAGCGGTTTCGATTAAGCTTTAATTAGTAGCCAGAGGGGAATCCAAAACAAAAATAAGGAGTTGAATTGCTAATTAAGTTAGTTTGATGAGGTAGAGTTTTAGTAAAAGACTGGTTGTTGTTAGCTGTGCAAGTTCTGACAAGCTAAAAATACTAAAGATTATCATTATTGTAACTAACATTCTACATTATCACCAGCTTTCTACACACAGCAGACAGTTCATTAGAGTCCACACTTTTGTCTGTCAGAACTGGAATTAAAGCCTTGTTAATCAGAGAGCAGTGCTTGGGGACAGGAGCCCAAGACAAGGCCATGGAACTTCACCTTTGATTGCTTATAAATTAACCAGTTGTTACCCAACTGAATATATTCACCCACTAAACAGTGTTTTGTCATTCACTGTTTCTACAAACATCTTCTTTATTAGAAACTGATGTTGCAGGGGAGTTTGCTTTCTACCGTTGATGGTTATTGTTCTCTACGTTCAGGTCTTGAACTGCTTCCAAAATTCCACAATTTCATAATGAATTTGAAATTTAAGAAGAGCCTGGAAAACAAGGAGAATCCACATGACTAGTCCAAAATAAAATATTCCTTCTCCTAAACAACCCTAGATATTCATTGTACATAAATAATGCCTGACAAAATTTTTTGATTATTTGAATCCTCTCTGTAATAGGTTTTATTTGTTTAAACTTGGATTATGGTTGCTGCAGAGTTGTAAATTAACCCTTTAGTATAAATAACTATTCCTACTGCAATATGAATGCTCTCCTTGTACCCCAAAGACTACTAATTATCCCCTCGAAAGCTCTCTGGTAATGGGGATTCGCCCAGACTGCACAAGAGGAATGTGAACCATCTTTTTCAGGATTGTGGAGAATGTAATTTGATTTCTCCATACTCCAATGTTTTCTATAATTTGTGTTTTATCCTTTTGCTTAAGGTTTCAAAGCCTACAAACCCAATAACGTAGGGATAAGAGAAGACAGAAAAATAAATGATATTGTTTCTGAGGTATTAAATATAAGCCTGGCTATCGGAGCTGCATGGCACTCACGAATCGTAATCAGGTACTTTGATTTAACACTGTTTTGTTTTATAATAAGGTGGTTGCCATATGTTGGAAAACCTATCTGCCTGTGTCTGAGGGGCTCCATACCTCTGTAACAAATCCAAAAACTCATTTTATAATACCTTAAATCTACCCATTGTAATGTAGCTCCACAAGTGTAAATCCACATCAAACTTTGCTCATGAATGTGGCTGGAAGATTACGTATATTATCATTGAAAGCAAAGGGGAAGCAGTGAATTAGAATGCAGTGGATCTAGCAAAAATAACTTTCAGTAAATCTTCTTTTAATGCATAGTTTACAATTTTCTTTTGCTCAACATGAGACTGATTAAGATCCCCCTTCTAAAGAATATTGTCCCCCACACATAGACATAGACGCATTGTTTAATATAGTTACATCCCCCAATACTTGACAAATCAGAATTTCAATGCCGCAAATGTGATGCTTGTTTAACAGCAGCCCAGAGTATTAATAATTTATCTATTTGAATGTAGAATAGGTTCCAATTATAGTATTTCACATGGTGTAGCAGCTGAACACACATTCTCTTAGAGGTAGAGGGAAATCTTCAGCGTAAGCAAGTCGTTGATATCTGCTGGAAGAAATCAAAATTGATACACATTGCGTGCATCACACTATAACATAGAGTTATAATTTAATTTGATTAGATATTAGAAATTAAAATTTAAAAAACTAATAAAACACTGAAAAGAAGACAAAGAAAATTTTTCTTTAAAATAATACTATTGGTTTCTAAAGATAAACTATTCTGGATAGCTATGAAATTAAGACTGAGAATCCCTAACATTTGATTTAAAGTTTTTGTTTCTTCAAAATATTGCTTACTATAATATGCAAGAACAAAATAATTAGAACATTAAAACTTATTTAAATACTAGCTCATAATCCATGGTTGTGTTTCTGAGACACCAAATTAATTAGTTCAGTGAGTCAGAATCAATATAACAACCAAAAAACCCCTCAAATTTGTTATTGAAATAATATCTAAAATGTACCAACGGCCTCATTTTACTAATATATTATTTTCTGTTGCTGCTATAGACAAAAATCTAAAAACAAATGATTTTCAAGGAAGTGAATATTAATTCTTTTATGATTATAAAATATCTCCAAAAACTTATTGGAATTTGGTTCTTTTTCTTGCCATTAGGATATCAAAGGATGTCTCTCTAAGTAGGTTTTCTTCATTTTAGCTCACAAGAATAACCCTGACTTCAGACCTTGAAGTCAGATACCAGCAAAGATATATTCAAAATAAAATGAGTTCACAATATTAGGGGATTTCTTTTTTGCTGCTTTTAATATTTTCATTCGCTAGTGAAATTCCATCTTTTCATGCCATTCATGAACATAACTGAAATATGAATGGAAACATGAGTCCACTTAGAAAAAATAACTGGTGGAATTTATGCCCCCATTGGTCCATTCAGTGCACAGGTTTCACACAACAGAACAGAATGCTTTATTATCCTCATCCCTGAAATCCCATCAAGTCCTCTGAGTGAACCTGAAGAAGTGTCTTCTTAAGATCAAATTGTTTTCACATTTTTAAAAGTAGAGAGGTCATTGAGAAAAGAAAATGATAGAAACTTTTAAATTACATTTAAATGCTTAGATGATATTTTCATGTCAAGAACTTTTCAGACATAGAGAAATTAAGAAAAATTAGCACTTTTTCTTTCTCCTTGTCATCTGACTCTAATTATAAAGAAGCAACTGTTCTTTTTTAGTGGTGATAGATCATTTTTAGGTTTTTAGAGTAGCAGACCTTCTTTGCTTTCATCCCAAAGAATTTCTATGAGGATTTAAAAATGAGTATTACAAAAATAATAGAGCTGCTTGCTGCTAAGCTTTAACACTTATTTAATCTGTCCTTGAGTAAATAAGACGGCAGCAGCATGCAAAAAACATCCTTTAAACATAATCACCTGTTTTATGAAAATACCTCAGGTATTAGATGCTTTGCAAAGTGAGTGCTACAAGAATTTTGGTTACTATCCTGGTGTTTTTATTTTTAGAGAGAGAGATTTTAACATTTCTGTATCTTAAAGGTTTATGTCTACAGCTTCATAATAACATTACTATAGTATTGAACTTTTAATTTACATGTGTTACTGCAGTTTATCTTCAAACCACAAGAAAGCATGATACTAGTATTTCTCAAGTACTTACTGGTGCCTAATTCTGTGCTAAATCTTTTCAAAGGATTATCTCATGTCACCTTTAAATAAAGTCTTTAGGAAAACTCTTGTGTCATATCTTCAGAAATAATTGTAAGAATGTGTGCAGCATGCTGCAACTAACCACACAGCAAGCCCACCCCCAAGCATTGAGTTCCACTGCTGAACCAAAAAATGGTCATACCACTTTCCTTGATTTGGGTTCCACCCACCCACTTCCCCAGAACTTCACAGTGGGCATTCTACATAAGAGGCAGGCAAGGGAGTAGTGTCCAGAAGGATATTGAGGGATCAAACACTTGGTCATATGTAAGTAGAGGTGGAATTTAAGCCTTTAAAAAGATTGATTTTTAATTCTTTTCTTCATATATGTGTGTGTGTGTGTATATATATATTCGTGTGTGTGTGTGTATATATATATATATATACACACACATATGAAAAAAAGATATGCAGTAGAGTTCCTGTGGGCTTATTGATTTTCCTCCCCATTGCAGACCACTGTCTGGCAAAGTGTCTACACGTAGTAGAAAGTTCATAAATATTTGCTGATGAATGAATGAATAAAAGAAACACCTCTTTGGAACAAAAAGCATTATATTTTAAATCAATATAAATTACTTATCTACACTAAGTGGGCCCTGAAAATATGCACCCCTCTGAAACAGCAAAGTCAAGGACCACCATTTTAGGTGCCTGGAGAATCGGGTCAGGACACAGGCAGCATCAGAAGGGGTGACCACAAGAAACAAATGATTGCTGGGTAATAAGTGTTGTAGGGAGGAGCAGCCTTGGTACTAGTGTTACTCCATCTGAAGGAAGAGGAAGCGTTTTCAGAAGATGAAGCCTTCCCGGGGAACTTGCATCTCTGCCCTGAGCCACAGAGGAAGAAGGTGTAAACAAGACATCTGAATTTGATCGGAGACTCCCATCAGTTGAGTTTCCATCATGAACAAGACATGCATGTGAGCCTTAGTCTTCTCAACTACACAACAGAACACTGTTCAGACCCGCCTCAGGGGCGGTATGTGTGGAATCTCTTTTAAAATGGTCAGATCAATATAAGGGCCAGAATTCTTCCAGTCAATTAGGAGAGCTGCGGAAACCCAGATTGGGGCTTTGTTGCATAGATTTGAATTCCCGCCAGCTCCACTTCTGTTGTTCTGACCTCTAACAAGTGACCTCAATTTCCTCACCTGATAAGCAGGTAACATCAGAGTGCCTACCCCCTGCACCTGTTGTGGAGAGTCAGTGAGGTGACATGTAGCTCATGTCAGCAGCTGGCAGAAGAGATGGTTGCTGTGCTGCTGAGGTTGGGGATTGGGGAGGTGAGGGTGGGAGGTGGGGGTGCTTCCCAGATGAAATGACAAAGGAACAATCTGGGTGCAGGTGAAAGGGTAATGAAGAGATCTCTCCTTGCCATTAGTTTGCCCTCTTCACTTACTCTCATCGCTGGGACATACTTAAAATATGCAGTCAGCCTGGAGGAAGAGCAGCTTTATCCTCACCCACCTTGCCTGCAAAAACAACCCAGGATACAGAGCAGTTGTCAAGTGTCATTCCCTCTCTACCATGGGCTTCTTTTTATTATTATTATTATTATTATTATTATTATCCCATTTTGCATGACGTTTTATTATTATTTTTTTAATTTTATATATTTTTTACATCATTTTTCATTTTTGCACAATGTATGCACTTTCATCTTGGTTATAGGCCCCATACAATTGCCCCCACCCCTTGTTTTGATACTACTCCCTCCTCCCCCTTCCTCCCCAATGTAAAAGACCAGGAAAAAGACTGATTATAATAAAGTAAAAATCAAAATCAGCAAGCAACTATACACCACGGGCTTCTTAAGGAGCAAGTTTCATTTCCAGGTTCACTCCAGTTTCTATTTGATGGTCACTTTTCGTGGCCAGCTTCTTCCAGGTGACAGTACAGTAAGCAACCTGTGCTCAGCCTCCAGCCCACCCTCTTTAACTGGACCTTTTCCATGACTGATTTCCCCACCAAACATGCATAAAACAGGGAGTAAGGAAGAGGTCAGGGAAAGGAATTATTTCACCAGCAATTCCTGCAAACTTACTGAGCCCTTCTCTAATAGTTCAAAAGCAAATGGCAGTTTTGGAGGATAAAGTTTGGGGAGGATGGGAAGAGGAGAAAAAAACCCTGAAGAAATGAGACCCGATGTCTGTCGGACTAACACTGACAAATAGGGACAGCAACATCCTTTTGCCTAAGTGGGAACTCTAATCACTTAATATGCAAACGCAATTGCTATCAACATTGTCCTTTTCTCAAAACTGCCACAGGCTATGCCTGTAAGACAACTTAAAGTAACAAAACCACTTACAGTAAAACTATGTGAAAAACAGATTAGAGAAATGCTGAAATCTGGGGGTGGGGGGAGGGGGCTCAGGGTTGTGGTAGTGCTTTGACTATATTTTGAAAACTGCTCAGGAAATGCTCAAACTTCTGGAGACTTGAATACAAATGTTCCCAAAGGATACATCTGTCCTGTATTCTTCATGACATCTACAGAGTCTATGATTTTACTTGAAATGAGATAAATATATTATGCTTTCTAGAAATGCAACTATACATCTACTTTTGAAAAGAGGATTTATTGCAGTTATTGTGGAACTAACTACTTGCAAATGTTCTTACAGTTGCTTTGTGAAAACTTTTCCCTCTAGGGCTACAGAGCTAAAAGATGGAGGAAATTTTGTACCCAATCTTAGCTAGGTTCTCTGAGGCAGGAGACTACAATTACGGAGGATGGGACATAATGTGGTAACATTTCTGCTCATTGTACATATTGAGTAAGTTGTGTCATCTCTTGGTTCCAGACACAAATTGTCTGAGAAAGAGAAAAGGATTTTTCTTTTGTCCTTTTCCACAAGCAACCACACCCTAATACTGAAAATTAAGGTCGAATGCAGTGCATATTCAGTAATGACTTGTAGAGTGTTGGCCAGGGGAATCCTGACTGATGTTGCAGGTTCAAAGCAGAGCTCCCTGCAATGAAGAGCCAGGTCCTGAATCTGACTGAGGAGGTCCTGGGCTTTCTAGTAGTGTACAGTGTGGCAACAAAATGGAGCTTCTTACCTGTTATGATTTGAGAAGTAGCTGAAACTAAATAAATGATTTCAATCTGCTCTCACACTTAAAAAAATTCAAAAGCATATCAATTGTAATAAACTATGACTTCATTAGAATGTATCCTATAACAGGATTAAGGAAGAATGTATCAATAATTGGCAAAGGTTTGCCTTCATTAACACCTTCATGTGAATACAAATGTGTTATCCTCACATATTATAGGTGAAATATTACCACTAAAATAAATTATGACATTTAGGAATATTGTTTCTTGATTTCTTGTAACATA